GGGGGGGGGGCAAAAAAAAGAAAAAGAAAAAAACAACAAAAACAAAACATAAACAAAACCCCCTTCATAAAGACAAGGGGATTTTTTGACTGAAGAGAGTTAAAGAACGCATGTGTTCAGTATACATGGTATTTGCAAACAGAAAACCAATTAACCTGTATCTGATGAAGGGCTTTTATTGATTTGAAGCAAATTTGCATCACTAACAGATTTAAAACTCTCTAGTTGAAAGCATACCAAAGATCAAATCCACGAAGGTTTTTTTTTTGTTTTGTTTTAAATTGGAACTAAATCATACTGACCAACTGAAATTATCTGAAATGACTAGTGAAAAGGCAGTAAATCAATGAAAATACTTCCCAAATTGTTTTCAATATATGTATCTGCATCCACCTTCTAGTGTTCTGTTTATTGAAAAACAAACCTTTTCCTTAGAAAAGGATTATTAAAGAGCTTCTGGCATAACAAAAAAATCCACACGAAACACAAATTGAGTTAGCTCCTTTCATAACACTGATCTCTATGTCACATTTCAATTTATCAAAAATACTATAACTTTTTCCTCCTTTACTGCTCATTAACTTTTATGTTTACATCAAACTGACCTTCTCGGAGAAGGAGTTTGTGAAGAATTTCTTTTTGTTGTTTTAGATGTTTTAGGAGACTTGGAGGGACTTCTACTCTTCCTTTTACGCCTTTCTCTGGAGGACCAAGAAATTCAAGATCACCAAAGAAGAAAAATAATAAACTCAGGAACTGCATAAAAACGGAAAGCTCTTAAAATGATCTGACACAACTAAGTAAATATCCCTGAATTTAACATATATCACCAATAATACATGAATTGTACAAAGCAAAAAATTTCATATGTTTCAGTTTGATGGGAAAAGGGAGAATGGAAGTGGGAAGTAGGAAAAAAAACAGCTGTGCCCTTTCAGATTTCAGTTTTACGCTTATCCTCACATGCTTGTACTTATACTGGATAACAATGGAAACACACTGAACTCACTAATCCTGTATTAAATAAGAGTTTCTTCAGTCAGGAAAAGAATCCAATTGAATGAAAAGCCACATTAAGGCAAAAGGCATAATTTGAGCAATACAAACTTCAAAACTTAAGATCACTGGAATTTCAGTTCAGCATGACTGAAGTTTAATTCCTGAATACATGAGCTAGCATTCCTATTGGTTTAGAAGCAAACAGTGCAAAATGAAGCTCAAGCTGCTGCCAGAATCAAAATTGAATAAGTTAATATCTATTGTTTTCCTAGCAGCCCGTGCTCAGCAAACCTACGTATCTTTCTATAACGCACTGAAGAGCTCTTAGTATTTTACAAAACAGCTGTTTTACACAGATGTATGGAATTTGCTGATGTTGCTGTTATGGAGTCTGATTTCGAATAGAACAGATCATTAAATAAGTGGTTGCAAACATACTGAGGCACATGTTAAAGTAAAAACAGCAAGTAAAGCTTCATTCAGCGTAAACATAGAACCTATCTCTGTCAAAGTAAGGTGACTCTTTCCTATCACCTCTTCATAGAGCAGGAAAAGCAGACAGGAAGAACCATCAAAGAAAAACAGGGAAGTTAAAAACTAATTGACAGGGCACTTTAAGATACAGCACAAAAGCTACACTTATGCATACCAGCTTTTGCAATTCACACCTAATTTCTTTAATATTTAGAAAGGCCAATAAAACAACAGTTATTAGAGAAATTATAAAAGATATATATATTAAGATATACCTAGTATCACTATCTGGATTCATACTCTGACAATATCATCTAGCCCGACCTCCTGAAGCTGTACAGGACAAAAGTTCATAACTATTTTGTTCAGCAAGCTCTTAAGTTTGATTCGATCTTTGGTAAACAAAAATATAAAGTGGCCTCAATCATTGGAAAAGAAACCCACAATCATTAATCAGCTGTTCACTGGTTAACACGCACCTCGTTTTGAACATCCTCACATTTATCATCACCTTTTTTCAAATGAGGATGTTGGAAATGAATATATTATTCTGACAGTGCTCCCACTTGGTCTACATTGAGTACATCCCCACTTTATTTTGCTTTCCTGCATACATATCTGTAAGCAATCAAGTAAGTGCCCTAGTAATTGTGTTCAAACTAGAAACCGTTTATTCATGAAATCTAATTTTCAGTTTCTGCTTTTCATATTTCAAGTTGAAGAACTACAGCTGTGTCTGACAGCATTCCTATCTCTGTTACATTTTTCTATACAAAGATTTTTGTGCACCTGTTTTTATTAACACTCTTAAGCAACACTAATACAGCAAAATTTAAGAAAAAGAAGTTTGAAAACTTTGATAGTGATCCCGTGTCTCTAAATCATACACAGAACTAACATTCTTGTCTCAAAGGAAAAATCCCACAGGCTCACGACTGGAGGCAACTTCCTGTTGATTTAAATAAAGTTAACTAGGAACAGCTCCAAGCTTTGCCTTAGATCAACACCAGGTCTAGCATTGCTAGGATCTTTTAATTCTGAGACAGACAGAAGCTTTGGGGCAGAGAGATTTCTCAACACCTGTCTCCAACTAGCAGTACTTGGAAGAATGGTGGCAGTGTAAACTAACTTCCTAGAAAGAGAGGTAGCTTTCAGCCTCTTCATATTCTGTTTGCCCCTAATTAAGGCACAAATTTTGTTTTTGACCCTGATGGAATCTGAGCCTTGCTAATGCCAGCAGAAATTGCCAGTGGAATATATGGGGTCCCTCTGCCTTCTTTAGGTAAAAAAATAGAAAAAAAAAAAAAAAAAAAAAAGCAAAAGATTAAGAAAAAAATCCCAGACAGACAATATTTAATGGGTGAGACTGACTGGACTTGATATTACCACCTTCAGGTTGGGCCATTACTGGGTTATAAAGGAAGATACCACTTCAGCCATCAAGAAGTCTTCTCTTTGGACAAAGTCCCTACCTATCCCCTTTGCTAGCCTGTAGATATCTCTTGGAAAAGGAGCCTGATTCTCCTCTTCCTCTGGTCGGTCTGTCTTCCTTCAGCTAGGAATCAAAAACAACCATCTGATTTCTAGTACTTGCATGCTGTTTGTCAGTAAAGCAAGGTGAGCTGCTGCCTAGTTCTTAGAAGGTCCTGTATGTTCTATTCCACCTCTTCTCCAAAAAGACTAGAAGACTATTTGTCCAATATTTTACACTCTTCAGAAAAAGGATCTGCATCTTCAAAAACAGTCCCAACTCAATGCTGCAGTATAAAACCAGACAGCTGAAATGCCAGGTTGTTGGATAATCTTCTCCCAAATGGTTTGTAACCATTTCAACTAGGCAAAGTCAACCACCAAAGTAAACAGACACCCCTAAATACAAGCTAACCGGGACTTGGTAGCTCAACCTATTGACAAATACTTTTCAGAATAACAGAATTACTGAAGTTGGAAGAGCCCTCTGGAGAACACCTAGTCCAGATCCCCACCCTCCCAAAACAGGATCAACTAGAGCAGGTTACTCAGGGCTATGTCCAGTCAGGTTTTTAATATCTCCAAGGATGGAGACTCCATAATCACTCTGGGCAAGTGGTTCCAGTTTGCCTAGAAAACACACAATTTAAACATTAGGAAAAACCTTTTATTTCCCACATTTCAATATATGCCCACTGCCTCTTGCCCTGTCACTGACCATCACTGAGAAGAGTTGGACTCCATCTTCTTTACGCTCTCCCATCAGGCATTCAATATGCACTGATATGGTGCCCCTCAGCCTTCTCTTCTCCAGGCTAAACAATCCCAGTCCTCTCAGCCTCTCCTTGTATGATGGATACATATAAAAAAACAGTGTATTTCTCTCACCCTCCATCTTCAAAAAGAACATTGTCCCTGTTTAATAGCATCTGTACAAAAAATCAATTTCATATCAAAGTAGGGCTTTGTACTGTAAGACCATTAGAAGAGATGCACTAAATTTCACTAGAATTCTCTGCTCAAGTACATGACATTTGAGTCTTCCGTGACACTTTCTTAAATAGCAGGATGCTTAAAGGGGAGCATAACTGTTCCAAACTAGAGTATGAATTTTTTGTAACATCCAGCTAACTACATTTGCTATTTAACATTAAGAGCCTTGGTGGAAGACCCACTTCCTATATAAGCTAAACATTACTGTATTGGGTTTGCGTGGCAAGGTTTTGGTAGCAGGGGGCTACAGGGGTAGCTTCTGTGAGAAGCTGCTGGAAGCTTCCCCTATGTCCCATAGAGGCAATGCCAGCTTGCGTCAA